CCTTGGTGAACTAGGGTATGTATACCCCATGGTAGCCCCTTCCACTTCCTTCCTCTTGCACACTCCAAATCCAGAAATTCATGGATGAGGCCCAGAAGGTGATGAGTTGGCTGCCCAGAAACATACTGGGGACCCAGCTCTTGAGAACAGATACAAAGAAATGTCTGGAGCAGCCTAACCACCATATTCCTACCTAGGTGTGGAGTGTGTAAGTAGAACGAGGTAGGCAGGGTTTGCTGCAGAATATCAGTGTAAGCATCCTCCTAGACAAACTTGGTTTTGAAGCTGGTAGAAGTGACACAGGCCAGTCCATAAAGAGATTAGATGCTGCAGTGCTGCGGGTCACAATTCCTGGCTGCCACAACAGAATCCATAGCCCTTCCCCCTAGGCTTGTATTCAATACAGGGAGAGACTTAGGTGCCTTAAAAAGGGATCTGCAACAGCTGGTATGCTCAGTAGGAAGTTGCCTCAGGTAGCCAGCAGTAAACGCTGAAGAAAGAAGAGTGTCTTAAAGCCTGCTCTTTTGAGGGGCTTAGTACCCCTTACACAGCATTACCAGGAAGCGTTTACCTCCATGCAGGATTCATACTACTAGAGAATAAGCCGTATGTGCTCTTTACTTCCAAATGTGAACAGGGGTCACTCTTCTTGTAAAACATGGTTAAACGGGGTAAAGTTAACCCATCTGATCCAACAGAGTAGTGACCCAGGATGAGAGAGACCTGGATTCAATTTCTCCTTCTGCACCAAGGAACTTATACTGATTCCTCCCACCAGAGAGTCCTAACCTGCAGATTATGGGCTTTCTTCTCCCCTAAGTATACCGCTTCAAGATTCATTGAATCAGAGAAAAGCAACACAACTAATCTCAATATGCAGGGGTGGGAGCAGAGATCGGCTCCAGTCCCTGCTCCAAGAACAATGTCAGTATAAAATGCATAAGCAAGGAGGCAGGAATGAAACCCAGTATTCTCCTCTTCCCAGAAGGCTAGTGAGTCATGTGGCTCATGCTCTCTCATTTTTCTCAATGAATCTTTATTTTTTTTATGCAAAATGAAGCAGCTTTAACATGAGAGAGAAATAAGGAGAGCTTTCTGTTCTCTCCATCCTTCTAAAATAGCCCATCAACAGGAGGACACTCTTCCAGGACATGGTATATGTCGGCTTGAATCCTCTCAGGAAGAGAAGGAAATAACTCATATCCTGAGTGAACACTCTAGCAGATTATTGGATGAAAGGAGGGGAGGCAGCTCCTCTTCCAGCCATGTTATGAAGGAAAAGGGCTCTGCATGTTTTTCAGGGCATGAGGGAATAGGCCTGCTCTGAGACCACCGACTGAATCATGACGAGACAGGGAAGAGCGCCTTTTATGGGGAACCCAATGAGGCTGAAGTGTGAGATGGAAAACAAGCTGCTCAATCCTGTTATGACCGAGGCAGAACAGGGGCTGTGGCTTCTGTTTTAAGGTCAAGTTTGACGTTCAGGTTAAGTTGAGGATGGCTTGATGGATGATATAGGGATGATCCTGCCTTGTGCAAGGGGCTGAACTAGTAACCTCCTGAGCTCTCTTCTAGTGACCTTTTCTTGTATAATGCCATGTTCAGAGCCGAATTTTAATATGAAAACCCAAGTTACATCCAGGGCTAGATGACAGATGGACATGGATTTTGAGGATCTATATTTTGGAGCAAGGTGCCTAAGATTTGTGAATCTGGGCCTTAGCCATTTTGTGGATGGGGAAATTGAAGTATGGAAGGGTTACCCCACAATCCACCTTATAAGAGTATTAGGAAAATTAGCTAATACTTGTGAAGGACTGAGGGACACTTAGGCTAGGTACAGACATTCAAAAAGCCTGAGGCTGAATCAACGTTACACAGTTTTCTCTAAGAGGCGCAGTTTAGATCGATAGCAAACAAAACACATATAGGCCCTTTGGTTGGGGAGGAGGGACAAATCTTAGACTGGCTTTGACCATTTTTAAACCAGTCTGTACAGGCTGAACTTCTGTTATGGGTATAAACTGGTTTTACATGCCGAACTTCTGTTCTGTTGCAGGTATAGACCAGTTTTCAGTCACTTATACCAGTAAAAGTGTAATGTCTGTACCTGGCCTTAGAAGAAAGGCATTAGAAAAGGACAAATATTATTCACCTTTCCCAACCAAGGTAATCTAGATTTTCCAAACTGTTTATAGATGTTACAGCCCCTTTTGTCCATTACATGCATAGTCATAAGAGACAGATCCTGCATCACTATGTTACTTTAAATCCAACACTGGGTAAGAAGTCTAACCAAGTGATGGTTCATGAACTGGTTATAAAAACAACAGTCCTTAATACCTCTTAATTACTGATGCGGTAATGGCTGAAAATAATCACCCTAGTTCTTTCTTTGGCCTGTGCATAATGACCAAGTGGCCTCAGTTCACTGCTTGGTGACCCAATATATTCAGTGCTGTTAACTCTCTTAATTTTGGGAGTTTTTCTGCTCATATTTCTGAGACTGCCTAAGAATCTTGTTGGTCACAAATAATTATTCTTTTTGCCCTCAGAATTTTAAAGTAAACTTGTAAATGTGATACAAGAGCCAAAAGGCAAACACAAAAAACTGAACTGTGCATATTCCCTAAAATATATAATTATCTATCTGCACATTGAAACAACTTGGAACTTTCTTTCTAGTTTTTACTGTACATGAAATCTCCTTCCTCATGCATATAACTATATTGTTTAAATCTACTTCTTTAAAAAAAGTAATTTCTGTGTGTTGACCAATTATCTCTATGCAGTTAGTCTGTGAAAACAGTCTCATACAGTGTTGGGAAAAAATATATATTTCAGCTACACCTTCACCACCCACCAGGGAAGTTAAGCCACCCACATCCCTTCCATTTATTTGTTTCACCCACTGTTGGTAAGTGAGATCACAAGCTCTTTGGAGCTAAGGCTGTCCCATATAATACATGCAGCAGTCAGCACAATGGATTCCAGAACCTGGCTGAAACCACTAGGTACTACTGCAATACAAATAAGTAATAACAGGGTGTTATATGTTTTTTGCTACCCTGGTTAACAATGTAGGATACTTATCAAAGTCCTAACCAGTTCTGGATTTTTTTTACTTCTGCCTGGCCAGGAAGTTGTACAAGCTTCTCAGATATTGAATTCACCACTGCAGTTAATGCTTTTGTTATCCCCTGATTTAATTACTACACAAGCCTACACCTCAAGACCACCCAGAAAACAAAGCAGAGCACAGAAGTCCTATAGCTTAATAATACTCCACACCTATGCATGACAATCTGTTCTGGGTTCCATATAGATTTGCAAGGTGCATTTGCAGGTGTTGTTTTTATTTTATTACCATGGTGTTTAGGAGTACTTAGCCACGTACCAGAATCCCATTTTGTTAGACAACATACAAATACAGAATCTGTTCAGTGGAGTTTATCATGTAAACTAAGTGTAACACAAGAGATCACATATAACAGGTGAGCACATGTGAAGGATGAGTATTGATCAGCACGCTAGGCAATATAGTACATCACCAGTGTGAGTTTTCTGTAGGCATCACCACAAAGGAGAGCCACAAGAGGAATCTGAAGGGGGATGGTGGTAATGAGGTGGCTTTGTGGATACTTACAGCATGAAAAGCACTTGGAAGAAGCATAAAGATGTTTGTTGAAAAATCCAGTAAGTAGGCAATGGAGGCTGACATTATAAAGCACTTAACAACTTAGGTCATGGGTGATCCACCAGTTGTTTCTTTCTCCCAGTGAAGCTGCTTCAATTGAGATTCAGCTAAAGGACCCAGCAGTTCTCTGGTTTATCGTACCAGGTGGGATAGTGGGTATTTTCAGTGAAGGAATTAGCTCGGTTTTACTTTCTGGCCAGAGCCTGACTAACAATCTTCTGTTCTCTAAGTTCATCTTTTCTCTTGGGCTTTTTTCCCGGTGGTTTGTACAAGGATGGCAGGCATCGTGATTCTTGCTCGGGTCTTGCAAGCAGCTGTGCACAGCGCTGTCCGTGCTGGGAGCACAGCCGTGTGCACATGGAGCAGCTTGTGGGATCAAGGTTTGGTGAGGGGGGTTGAATTGGATTTGTTTTGGCTGTTTTTCCTAGCAGGTTGTATCATAGTAATATTCCCTGCACATTTCCCCAGGAGAGAAAGTGTGTGTGACAGCACGTACGTGTGTGTGTGTGTTTTAAACTCAGTCACTCTGTCCCAGAAAGAAAGCATCCCAGTCGCTTAACTGCTTACAACGTCACTCTTCCAAACAGCACAGTAATGATGGGTGGATCCAGGATTTTGAAAAAAAAAAAAGGGTGCAGGTGGTGTGGTACACATGTTTCTCCAGTTAAAAAGAAACGAGGACCGTCACTAATCAGTTAGGGGCCTGGAGCTGTATTTATTCAATTTAAGATGAAAAAAAAAGCAAACCAAAACCCCTTTATTGCACATTAAAACTTGCTATATGTCATCTATTCTCTAGAAATCCTACCTAGACAAAAAACAACCCCAAGGCACCGTGTCATTAGTCCTGTAGTCTTGAAGGGGACATGCATAAAAGCAAGCCTACCCTTCGTGCCAGCGCGCCCGGGGACCCGCACGACGGTGACAGCCGGGAGCCTGTTTCTAGCTGGAGCTCAAGGCCGGTGTGCGCGGCTGGCGCGGTCGGGGCGGCCGAGCCCTTCCCACCTGTGGGGCCGGGGCGCGCCCTGCCTCCCGCCAGCGGCGGTTTGGAACTTTGGCAGCGGAGCCCCTGAAGGGAGGGGGAGGGGGAGGGGGAGGGGTCGCCCCGCCCCG